CCAAAACAGATAATTTAGACCAATGGAACAGAACAGAGGCCTCAGAAATAATGCCACACATCTACAACCATCTGATTTTTGACAAACCTGACAAAAACAAGCAATGGGGAAAGGATTCCCTGTTTAATAAATGGTGTTGGGAAAACTGGCTAGCCATATACAGAAAACTGAAACTGGATCCCTTCCTTACACTTTACAAAAATTAACTCAAGATGGATTAAAGACTTAAACATAAGACCTAAAACCACAATAACCCTAGAAGAAAACCTAGGCAACATCATTCAGGACATAGGCATGGGCAAAGACTTTATGACTAAAAAACCAAAAGCATCCAGGTGCAGTGACTCACACCTGTAATCCCAGCACTTTGGGAGGCCGAGGTGGGTGGATCATGAGGTCAGGAGATCGAGCCCATCCTGGCTAACACGGTGAAACTCTGTCTCTACTAAAAATACAAAAAATTAGCTGGGCATGGTGGTGGGCGCCTGTAGTCCCAGCTACTCGGGAGGCTGAGGCAGAAGAATGGCGTGAAGCCGGGAGGCGGAGCTTGCAGTGAGCCGAAATTGCGCCACTGCACTCTAGCCTGGGCGACAGAGAGTCCATCTCAAAAAAAAAAAAAAAAAAAAACCAAAAAAACAAAAATCAAAAGCAATGGCAACAAAATCCAAAATTGACAAATGGAATCTAATTAAACTAAAGAGTTTCTGTACAGCAAAAGAAACTATCATAAGAGTGAACAGGCAACCTACAAAATGGGAGAAAATTTTTGCAATCTATCCACCTGACAAAGGCCTAATATCCAGAATCTATAAGGAACTTAAGCAAATTTACAAGAATAAAACAAACAACCCCAACAAAAACTGGGCAAAGGATATGAACAGACACTTCTCAAAAGAAGACATTTATGTGGCCAACAAACATATGGAAAAAAAGCTCATCATCAGTGGTCATTAGAGAAATGCAAATCAAAACCACAATGAGATACAATCTCAGGCCAGTTAGAATGGCAGTCATTAAAAAGTCAGGGAAAAACAGATGCTGGAGGGGATGTGGAGAAATAGGAACACTTTTACACTGTTGGTGGGAGTGTAAATTAGTTCCAGCATTGTGGAAGACAGTGTGGTGATTCCTCAAAGATCTAGAACAAGAAATATCATTTGACCCACCAATCCCATTACTGGATATATACCCAAAGGATTATAAATCATTCTACTATAAAGACACATGCAGACAGATGCTTATTGCAGCACTATTCACAAAGACTTGGAACCAACCCAAATGCCCATCAATGATAGACTGGATAAAGAAAATGTGGCACATATACACCATGGAATACTACGCAGCCAAAAAAATAAAGGGTGAGCTCACGTCCTCTGCAGGAACACGGATGAAGCTGGAAAACATCATTATCAGGAAACTAACACGGGAACAGAAAACCAAACACCGCATGTTCTCACTCATAAGTGGGAGTTAAACAATGAGAACACATGTACACAAGGCAGGGAACATCACTCACCGGGGCCTGTCAGGGGTAGGGGCACTAGGGGAGAGCATTAGGAGAAATACTTAATGTAGGTGATGGGTTGATGGGTACAGCAAACCACCATGGCATGTGTATACCTATGTAACAAACCTGCATGTTCTGCACATGTATCCCAGAACTTAAAGTATAACAAACAAAAAAAAAAAGTTCTAACAATGTGCGTCAAATTAATGATTATTTACAGCACCCAAAAATCCAAAGTAACATGGTAGCTGCTTATAAAGAGAACTCTTTCAAAAGAGAACTGGTCATATTATGAAAATAAAGAACGCTACAGTTATTTATAGAAACAGAGAAAACAAGTCCTTTTAGGTTTGATGTTACTACATAACTGGAAAATACAAATTCTAAGTTTGAATTCAGTGATGACAGCAAAATTTTTTTTTTTTATTATTATACTTTAAGTTCTAGGGTACATGTGCACAACGTGCAGGTTTGTTACATACGTATACATGTGCCATGTTGGTGTGCTGCACCCATTAACTCGTCATTTACATTAGGTATTTCTCCTAATGCTCTCCCTCCCCCTGCCCCCTCCCCACAATAGGACCCGCTGTGTGATGTTCTGCTTCCTGTGTCCAAGAGATCTCATTGTTCAATTCCCACCTAAAGTGAGAACATGCGGTATTGACTTGATTCCTTTTTTTTTTTTTTTTGAGATGGAGTTTCGCCCTTGTCCTCTAGGCTGCAGTGCAATGGCGTGATCTCGGCTCACTGCGACCTTCGCCTCCTGGGTTCAAGCGATTCTCCTGCCTCGGCCTCCCAAGTAGCTAGGATTACAGGTGTCTGCCATCACACCGGCTAATTTTTGTATTTTTAGTAGAGACGAGGTTTTACCATGTTGGCCAGGGTGGTCTCAAACTCCTGACCTTAAGTGATCTGCCCTCCTTGGCCTCCCAAAGTGCTAGGATTACAGGCGTGAGCCACCACGCCCAGCCTACTTGATTCCTTTTTTGTATTTACTAACAATTTAGGAGCTTTTAAAAATTGACCTATTACCCCAACATATTTTTACCTCTGAACATTTGAGTTGCATCTTTAAAAGGCAGATTCCCTGGATAACCATCCTTTAGTTCCCTGATATGGTTTGGATGTGTGTCCCCTCCAAATCTCATGTTGAAATGTGATCTCCAATGTTGGAGGTGAGGCCTGGTGGGAGGTGTTTGGGTCAGGGGGGCCAATCCCACATGAATGGCTTGGTGCCCTCCCTGCAGTAATGAGTTCACCTGAGATCTGGTTGTTAAAAAAGGTCTGGGACCTCCCCACTCTCTTGCTCCCTCCCTTCCCAAGTCATATGCCAGCTCCTCCTTTGCTTCCTGCCATGTATGGAAGCTTCCTGAGGTCCTCATTAGAAGCAGATGCTAGCACTATGCTTTTCCTACAGCCTACAGAAGCATGAGTGAAATAAACCTCTTTCTAAATTACCCCATCTCAGATATTTCTTTACAGCAACACAAAACAGACTAATACATTCCCTCTTGCCAAAACTATTTAGTAGTGTTCCATCTCCCCTCCACATATGTACACACACACGCACACACACATACACATGCACACACACACACACATATGCATTGGCAAAAGATCTCCAGAGCCCTCTTTCCACCATAATAAGCCCCCTATGTCTTCTACCTCCCAGGGTTTAATGACTCTGGCTCTTTTATGACAGTAACAGTATTGACAGGCTTCACAGGTAGAAGCTCTTCATCCTCTCACATTCCAGTTTCCAAGAGACAAGGAAGTGATGCCCACATTCTGCCAGCTTCCCAATGCTACTTCAAGCCTAACCTCAAGAAAAACATCTGGTGTTAAGAAAAGCAAAATCCAGACAGGTGCGGTGGCTCGCATCTTTAATTACAGCACTTTGGGAGACTGAAGCTGGTGGATGGCTTGAGCCCAGGAGTTCAAGACTAGCCTGGGCAATATGGTGAGACCCCCTCTCTCTAAAAAAAATTTAAAAAAAAAAAAAAAGCGTAAAAAAATTTAAAAAGAAAGAAGCGAAATCTTTTACCATTGTTCTATTTTTTGGTAGCTCTGCAAACTAAAATCAAGATAAATAACAAAAGGGTCTGCACTCCTTCTAATTCCCTAAATCTAAATATCATTATCACTACCAAAACAGTCATATCTTTGTGCCAATGTATTTGTTTCATATTATTTTACTATTTGTTGAAAATTATGATAATGATCTGCTTATCGATCACATTTCTTTTCTACTAAATAATACGTGTAGTTTCACAACGATTAACCAAACTTCTTAGTTTACAAGATATTTAAACAAAATATTCTCTAGTGCTTGGCTGTACCACACATTTGTGCTGTTGAACAACTTTCCTCTTGGCTGAGATTCCCAATTACCTTCATTTTCCTTCTGCTCTGTCACAAAGATAAATGATTGTGCTTACTTAGTTTAGTTGAGAGCACAGTTTCCCACAGAGCATTTTTACAGACATTCATTGCCAGGGAAATATTTAAGGCAGGTTTACGAAGGCCATCAGTTCTAAACCTTTACAAGAATTACACACCTCTTGAACCTTTTCCCCTCCAAACTGTGGAAGAGACAGAGGAACTGAAGGACAGAGTCCTTAAAAGAGTTGAGTCAACATACTTCTGGTCTTCTTTTAGAATTATTTCAATCTGCTCATCACTGTTTTTCACTTTCCTATGTTGAATACTTTTAAGAAAAGTCTCTGTCTACCATGTTCAAAATGGATTCGCGGTGTGCGGAGGGAAATGCTTTCTACAAAAACCAGAACAGTGTCCTCTGTGAGTAAATAATGGAATTTCTGTGGTAATTTTGTGGTTCCAAAGTTGACTGACAATTTCCAGCTTGAAAACCACCCTTTGGAAGCAGGAGGCTCCACTGATCGAGATGAAAGAGAGATTACTAGAGGAACTGATGACGGTGTGTTCAGGACCCCAGGGCTTAAAACAGTTTGAGTGAAGATGGAATATGTTCCAAGACAGGCGAGCAAAGGAGGTAACATCTGACTATAAAAGCCCTGACACAGTATCACCAAAATGAAGGGCACGTATTTTGCCATCCAAACAGTATGTCATAAACCAAGCATGGAAAAGTATCAGCAGATATTTCAACCTGGGAACTTGGAATTCTGGTCCCTATCATGCTGTCTTGGGGCAAGAATCACCTCTGGCAGCGATTACAATGGCCAGAGGTGTTATCCAGCTCCCTAACAGAGCTGCAGCAGTTCCATTTAATATTCTTCTCTAGTGAAACAGCAAAGGCCCCTCATGCCTATTTTTAAATGCACATTTTTAATATTCAATATAATGCTACTCTTTAACAAACTCTTTACTCCCTGCCTCTCTGATGAAGCTTCCTGTGGTCTTTAAAGAGATTGTTAACCCAAGAATGGATCGCATTCTTTCTACATGAGCAGGCCGGGAGACACTCCATTAAGCCTTCCGGTATTTAATAGGAAGTGCAGTCTCTCACCTCTGAGGCGATGAGCCAGTTGCTCGGTGATGAGCTCAGGAGCCTCCTGGAGAATCTCCTTCAGCACGAGGGAAGAGGAAGACTCTCGGAACTCAACGTTGGCATCGCTCTGCTCAACCGGATTAATGACTTTGACAACTGCTGATTCTAAAGTTTTGTCTTCACTATAAAGCAAATGGAGGGGAGGAGGAGAAAGGAATATGGCATGTCTTATTACTTTTGGGAATGTTTAAATCTCTGCTCTCACACAAATGACTTCCTCTCGATGACCAAAAATACGAGGGAACTCACATGACTCAGAAGATGGGAGCCTTATTCTACGTATTTTCACATTTCATTTAAACCATTTATTTTCCCCCAAATTATTAAAATACCTTCATACCTTACCAGCTTTATCCTGTGCTGCACTCTTGGAAAATAATAGTAGCTAACACTATTGGACTTCCACCACAGGCTAGATACTATTATAAATACTTTAGGTGTATTATCATATTTTAAACTAGAAAATAACACTGTAAAATGAATTCTATAGGCCGAGCACAGTGACTCACGCCTGTAATACCAGCACTTTGGGAGGCCGAGGCAGGTGAATCACAAGGTCAGGAGTTTAACACCAGCCTGGCCAATGTGGAAACCCAATCTCTACTAAAAATACAAAAAATTAGCCAAGCATGGTGGCAGGTGCCTATAATCCCAGCTATCTGGGAGGCTGAGGCAGGAGAATCACTTGAACCACATAGGCTGAGGTTGCAGTGAGCCAAGACCGTGCCACTGCACTCTGGCCTGGGCAATAGAGCGAGACTTCGTCTCAAAAAAAAAAAAAAAAAGAGTTCTATAAAATGCACTAAAAACGACACTAGAAAATGACACTAGAAAATCCCCATTGTGTAAATAAAAAAAACTGAGGCACAAAGAGGTTAAGAAATTTGTGCAACATCACACATCTACTAAGTAGACTAGCCAGTATTTAAACTCCAATAACCTGGCTCCAAAGCTTGCAAACCCAGTCACTGTGGTGTAGAAAAAACACTACTGGGCCTATTTTCCTTCCACCATCATTCTTTATATGTGAGACAGAGGTGGCTTTTAGCAAAGGCAGGAAGAAAAGTTTGGATCAATCCAATTTTATTCTTTCTGCCTGTCAAAAACAAATAAGTGGCAATGAAAGAAATAAAGATTTCAATTTATTTTTGAAAAGCATTCTATTTCATAAACAATTCTAGAGCTAGAGTTCACAATCCCAGCCTCAAAATCCGTCTAAATTTTTCCATTTTAATTGATAACAAAACTATTCCTCAGATTTTGATTGATTGACACACACTAGTTCCACAATTCACATTCCAATTGCATTGTATTTATCTGTGTCTCTTTACATCAGTTGGTTTGAAACAGTTAACATGGCTGGGCATGGTGACTCACGCCTGTAATCCCAGCACTTTAGGAGGCTGAGGCAGGCGGAGCACCTGAGGTCAGGAGTTTGAAACCAGCCTGGCCAACATGGCGAAACCCCATCTCTACTAAAAATACAAAAATTAGCTGGGCGTGGTGGCAGATGCCTGTAATCCTAGCTACTCAGGAGGCTGAGGCAAGAGAATCGCTTGAACCTGGGAGGTGAAGGCTGCAGTGAGCCGAGATTGCACCACTGCACTCCAGCCTGGGTGACAGAGCAAGAATCCATCTCAAAAAAAAAAGAAAGAAAGAAAAAGAAAAAGAAATAGTTAACATGTAAATTTGGTCAAGCATATGATTTCCTGAATACCAGTCATTGAAGTCAGTCAAATAAACTACCCAGAACTTTTAGCCATGTGTCAATGATCGATAAATATTATTCAAATAATTTCATTCAGTTTCAAACAGCATGAGGATAAAAGCAGCCACACATAGGCAGGTTATTTTCAAAACTCCTCATAAGTAAATGAATTGCATGATAGATATCACAATACATTCATACCTAAATATGCTTCCTAAAAAGTTAAATACAAAATTATTAAATAGAAAAGGTTTTATTTCATGTATGCTAAAGTCAGTGTCCACTGGTTAAGGTTATCAACAACTTGCAAATCGCCAAACTGTGAAAAACTAACATTTTAAACTACTGAAGTGTTTAACTGGTGAATCTTCATTCAGTAGCAGTAGAAAGCTTATCAAAAGGACATCTTCATAAAGTTCTTGATGGCAGAGAATTTGTCTTATTCCTCCTTAGGCACCTGTAGATTTTTGCATGAGTTAGCAATGCTTAAGTATTTATTCAAAGAGTCAGAAGATAAAAGTTCTAATCCCAACTCTTCTGCTAACTACATGTGGTTCTTTGCTTTTGTTGTTGTTGCTTGTTTTGTTTTGTTTTTTTGAGACAGGGTCTCGCTCTGTCATCTAGGCTGGAGTGCAGTGGTGTAATCACAGCTCAACCATGAGATGCAATTGCAGCCTCAACCTCCCAGGCTCAAGTGATCCTTTCACCTCAGCCTCCTGAGTAGCTGGGACCACAGGTGCGTACCACTATGCCCAGCTAATTTTTTTGTATTTTTTGTAGAGACAGGGTCTCACCATGTTTCCCAGGTTGATCTCAAACTCCTGGGCTCAAGTGAACCTCCTGCCTTGGCCTCCAAAAATGCTGGAATTACAGGCATCAGACACCATGTCAAGCCTGCATGTGGTTCTTTGGACAAGTCGTTTGTGACACTGAGTTTCAAGTGTCTTATCCATAAAATAAAAAGTTTGAGCTACATGAATAATCAAAAAAAAAAAAAGATCCTTCTCTTATAGTATAAAATGCTATGAATGAACAAATAATCAAACGATCTTCATAGCCCATCTCTACATATTTTTCCATGTCACCACTGAGACTTCTTTCCTAAGAACCATTCCATTTTATCTAGTGTTTAATTTCAATTTTTATTACACATGTTCGGCATCAATACATAAGACTATTGTATTGCTATAAGAAAGCGTTTGAAATGGTTTAAAAATTATAATTTTAGGCTGGGTGTGATGGCTAACATCTGTAATCCCAGCACTTTGGGAGGCTGAGGCGGACAGATCACTTGAGGTCAGGAGTTCAAGACCAGTCTGGCCAACATGGTGAAACCCTGTCACTACTAAAACTACAAAAATTAGCCAGTCGTGGTGGCACATGCCTGTAATCCTAGCTACTCAGGAGGCTGAGGCAAGAGAATTGCTTGAACCTGGGAGGTGGAGGCTGCAGTGAGCCAAGATAGAGCCAATGCACGCCAGCCTGGGTGACAGAGCAAGACTCTGTCTCAAAAAACCAAAACAAACCTCTATAATTTGGTCAATTTTACAATAACTTTACACTTAAAGATTTCATATCTGAAATGCAAAAGTAAAAATGAAGGATTAGCATGACCCAAATTTTGGCATAAGAGAAGAAAAAGATATTCCCTTTCCTCTGCATGTCCTCTGCTTTGCTGCTGCTGTTGTTGTTTTGGGATTTTGGGGTTTGTTTTTTGCTTTTTGTTTGTTTGTTTTTGGTTTTGTTTTTGTTTTGAGACAGAGTCTCACTCTGTCGCCCAGGCTGGAGTGCAGTGGCTGGATCTCAGCTCACTGCAAGCTCCGCCTCCCGGGTTTACACCATTCTCCTGCCTCAGCCTCCCAAGTAGCTGGGACTACAGGTGCCCACCACCTCGCCCGGCTAGTTTTTTGTATTTTTTAGTAGAGATGGGGTTTCACTGTGTTAGCCAGGATGGTCTCGATCTCCTGACCTCGTGATCCACCCGTCTCGGCCTCCCAAAGTGCTGGGATTACAGGCTTGAGCCACCACACCCGGCCTGTTTTTGTTTTTTTTTTTTTTTAAAACAGTCTCACTCTTTTGTCCAGGCTGGAGTGCAGTGGTGCGATCTCGGCTCACTATAACCTCCGCCTCTTGGGTTCAAGCAATTCTCATGCCTCAGCCTCCAAGTAGCTGGGACTGCAGGCATGCACCACCACCCTAGCTCACTTTTGTATTTTTAGTAGAGACAAGGTTTCACCATGTTGGTCAGGCTGGTCTCGAACTCCTGGCCTCAAGTGATTCATCCGCCTTGGCCTCCCAAAGTGCTGGGATTATAGGCGTGAGCGACCAAGACCAACATGTCTGCTTTTAATACATCTGCCTAAACCACAAAAGTCCTGAGTAAAGTGACACTTTGCCCAGAAGAACCTTCATTGAAGGATTAACTCGCAGAGCTTCACAATGGATCTTACCTCGCCAGCACGTTGTCGCCAACAAGTGTTACTGATAACTTCCCTTCATCATTTAGTTGATGCAGGTTAATTTCATCCCGGAATATGTGGAATGATTCAGAAATATTTAGCTCTTCTAAAATAAACCTCGTCTCGGTGAAGTAGTTGAATTCAGTTCTTGGTATGTTCAGCACTGGTAAACACAGAACCCCTGGTGGACTGACCTACCAAGAAAACAGTTGACTGAATTACTGAAAATAGCAGGAGGAAAGAATACAATTACATTTTCTCCAGCCTCAGGGTAACTGGTAAAAGGAATGGGAGTCTTCTGGCCTCACTAAACCACTTGGCGTTCATACCAAATTTTCCTGAACCCAATTAACAGGGCCTTATGCTCTGAGTGGCCCCTAACATTTTTTAACCTCTTGTTACCCTGCTTGAAACGTCTCATGCTTTATTTAATGTCTCATTTTAGACCCTGTACCATTTGTATATATAAATATATATTACATATAAATAAAATTTAAATAAATAGATAACATATAAATATATATTTATATATAAATTTAAATATATGCATATATATAAATTGTGCAGGGGCTAAAATGTAAATATGTTTATATATAATACACATTCTCTTCTTTAAGAGTAATAAACTCACATATCTTTATAAACTTGGCACAAAATCAGGACAATTGAGGCAGGGTGGGTGGGGACTGTGGGGACAGAGGAAGGCACATATGTTGCATCTAAGTGGAATGCCTGTCACTCAGCCCTAGCCAATGTTTCACATGTAAAAATTCAGGCCCAGTTTTGTTAAAACTTTAAATTACCAGGCTGGGTGCGGTGGTTCATGCCGGTAATCCAGCACTTCAGGAGGCTGAGGCAGGCAGATCATGAGGTCAGGAGATCGAGACCATCCTGGCTAACATGGTGAAACCCCATCTCTATTAAAAATACAAAAAAATTAGCCAGGCATGATGGCAGGCACCTGTAGTCCCAGCTACTCAGGAGGCTGAGGCAGGAGAATGGTGTGAACCCAGGAGGCGGAGCTTGCAGTGAGCCAAGATTGTGCCACTGCACTCCAGCCTGGGGGACAGAGCAAGACTCCATCTCAAAAAAAAAAAAAAAAATTTAATTACCCAAGAGAAGCTATAAGTCTAGATTTGGGGTATTATTTGTGAAATTTAATTACTACAATTCATTTTGTAAAATTCAGAATGTCAGTCAGTAGAAATTCATTTATGAGTCAGCTTCAGCCTACAGACTATCAGATTGTGATCTCTACTGATTTCTTAAATCATAAAAAACATTTTTTATTAACAAGTCTCTTGGAAAATGGATCTGTGGCAACCAGAGAAAACAGGAGATAGGAAAGAGGTAGAGAATTGTAGAGTTACAACAATAAACTTGTTTTTGTACGGGAATGTAAAAAATAAAGGCGCTTTAAAAATTACTATGAATATACAGCAATAATCCTAACTATCACTGAGAGAATGTGGGGTTCAGTGACATGGAATTTGTGCATAAAGTAAATGGCCTTTACTGTCACACCATCACCAGCTTGTCACAGTTTTAACATCTTTATCATCTGTCTCCCCTTTCTAGCATTAAGAAAGCAGAGCTTTTTGATGGTTTTGTTCAGTTATGTTTCCAGTGTGTAAAACAGTCTGGCACATAGTAAACATTTAGTACATATTTGTTGAATGAAAGAAACGAATCAGCCACTGCTATAGCATACAAAGCACGAAGCCACTCCAACAAAGTGGGTTTTCTCCCTCCTCTCATGCTAATACTGAAGCACAGTTGCATAATAAGTGTTAACAACTTACGTATGGCTAGTTACTTTTCCTAATGAATGGAAGGTTCTATCTAACTCCCGATATTGAAACTGGAGTGGGGAAGAATCAATATGTAAATCAGGCATGTGGCCTGAGCCTCTCCTGGCAGGACCTATTCTGAAGTTGATGTCACAAGAACTAGGTTCCAGCCCCAGTCTCTACTGCGTAAGTTTGAGAAAGCCAGTTTCCTCTCTGAGACTCTGCGTTTCCTATCTGCAAATGCGGCTCACTTACCAGAATGAGAAGGACTTAAATGGGGTCATACGCATGAGGCAGAAAAACTCTTTCCTTATCCTACATGTTCGTACTCTGAGAGGGAGTAGTTGGGTTTATTGAAGAAAATTTAAATAGAGACACAGGCCACTAGCCAGGGGGGCCAGTAAACTAAGAGAGAGGCAGAGAAATATAACTAAATTCTCAGTATGAGACCTTACAGTAGTTCCACATTCATCTCCATGCTTACTGGCAAACCTTTGAAGAAGAAGAGAATCCACATGCATTTTTATTTTTATCTATGTGTTTTATCTATCACAATTACTTTTTCTACCCCTTTTATTGGATGTCAAGACATTGTAGTAGGTGGTAGTGGTGGCATTATTATTAAATCATTTCCAAGTCCATGCCACTATCACTCTAAAAATCAGTTTGGTTTTGTCAACTCCATGTTCTCTAGATAAGTAACATTTTCTTCTAGGAGTCAAAATACCAGTTAACAAAATTAGTGTTAATATGCATGTCTTAACAGAGGCACATTTATCTCCTCATACCAATTAATCTCCCTTGTAAAGTTCAACGAATTTTAAGATAAATTTGATATAAAGCCCACATGTAGAGATCAGAATATTTTACCCAGCGTTTTTATCAGCTTCTGCCCTACAGCAGTTCTGGCCACCCACAGCTCATTCTGGAAGACTAGGCTTCGTGTGAATTTAAATCGCTTTAGACCAGCTCTGCCTACTGTCAGGGTCCAAGGATCCAAACAAAATTGCAATGAAACAAATCAGATTCTGAAAAATTAAAAATTGCGTGACATTGAAAATAGCACCTAGATACTCATACCATACATTTTTAGGCTTTAAGTTAATAAAAAGCCCATCATCATGAGCTCATCAGTTTTATAGATTTAAAGTTTTAAAGTCATTTGTTGAAAGGTCTTTTCCACTTCCATAGGTGCATCATATGCTTCACAGAATAGAAGGAGTCTTCCTCAAGGGAGATGATCACTAACTGGGGATGATCTTGCTGCACAAAGTCAGGGCTACAAGGCAAAACCAAACAAGGACCGACAGGAAGCAGATTTGACATGTAATACCTATCACTGAAAACTCTAGCCAGTGTGCTCTGCCATTCATGTACTGTTCACACAAGTTATTCTGCATGTATTTTTCTGCTCCCAAAGGCAGGACTATCAGCAAGGATGACAAAGGAAAACAAGAAATCTGATTCTTACTTTTATTAGTTCTATGAATTTCCATAAAATTAATCAATCATTATGAACATTTTAAATGTTTTATTTGAAAACATTGTCCTTATTGAAACAATGTTTTATAAGGAGAGTTGGAAAGAAATAGCCAGAACAATGCCTAACAGATAGTAGGTGCCCAATAAATATTTGTTGACTCATGGATGATAATACTTTATGCTCTGCAACAATAAATCGGAACATTAAAAATTAAGTTAATAGGTTCCTTTGTTTTGAGAAAATGTTTATTCTTAAAAGTTACATAATAATTCAAAATATAAGAAGTATTACCCTTTTTTTCCCTCACCTTGTCTAGAAAGTAAGCATATGTGAAGGTCGAAATGAGAGAATCCAAGTCACATGATTTAGGCCCAATAACCACATGGACCTTCTCCAAGCGTTTGCTTCGATTCTGAAACAAATTCAAATAAAACATCACAACTTAACTGGTGACAGATTAATATAAACATATTTTTATCTTTAAAAATATATGCCTTATCTCTATTTATACACAATGGCAGAAAATCATAAATTTATCATGAAGTTTTACACGAGAACATAAAAATTGTACAGTGTTTAACACTCTGAAATATTCACTCAAACTCTAGTAAACTTTCCAGAAGAGAAAATGTGGTTTTATTAAGATTACTCATAATTTAACTTCATATTAACTCTATCTCTGAGTCATAATTTTTTAGTATCATTTTGTTCTAAGCGGCATAGTATTCTATATCATTTCTTTATATAAGAGGTTCTTAATTTAAGAAACAAAATGACTTTTTTCATATGTGTCTGGCATGCAACATAAGCAAACAGACAGAGTTTGGTAAGGATTTATTTTTTTCATGTCACATTTTGGGTAACAAGGTATGTTCTCTCTGTATTCTATTCTATAATTTAGTAAATGAAACTTGTAACACTTTAGTCTGTCAGAAAATAAAAATTAGTTGTTCTTGTTTTTTTTTTTGTTTTTTTTTTTGAGATGGAGTCTCGCTCTGTCACCAGGGCTGGAGTGCAGTGGCCGGATCTCAGCTCACTGCAAGCTCCGCCTCCTGGGTTTACGCCATTCTCCTGCCTCAGCCTCCCGATCCCAGGACTTTGGGAGGCCGAGACGGGCGGATCATGAGGTCAGGAGATCGAGACCATCCTGGCTAACACGGTGAAAAATTAGTTGTTCTTAAAAAGTGTATGTAGTCAGCCAGGTGCAGTGGCTCATGCCTGTAATCCCAGCACTTTGGGAGGCTGAGGCAGGCGGATCACGGGGTCAGGAGATCAAGACTATCCTGGCCAACATGGTGAAACCCCATCTCTACTAAAAAATACAAAAAAACAAAAAAAAAATTAGCTAGGTGTGGTGGCGCATGCCTGTAGTCCCAGCTACTCAGGAGACTCAGTTTCATCAATTCAATTTACTATTGTCACCCAAACAATAAAAACCTGCTAGTGCCAGGCACTGTTTGAGGCAGAGGAATCGCTTGAACCCAGGAGGCAGAGGCTGCAGTGAGCCAAGATTGCACCACTGCACTCCAGCCTGGCGACAGAGCAAGACTGCATCTCAAAAAAAAAAAAAAAAAAAAATGTATATACTTACCCCTCTGGAAGAGAAGACTTGCTATTTCATTTTCTGGTTAACTAAACAGTTATTTGAAAATTCCTTTGTGGAAAGCTGACATTCTTTTGAAACTTCCGAAGAACCAACCGCTTCTAGTAAATGTCATAGTAAAACTATCCAATACAGATAATTGTCATATAAATTAACAACTTTAGGGTATGTCAGAGATGACACATGTACATACTTTCCCCACTTTTCATCACTTGTTTTAACTTCTCATTTTAGAACTGCCTAGAAAGTCAACTTAGTTGTAATACTGTTCCAAAGGCTATATAAAAGGTTAGATTGCTCATGACTGTTTTAATTTTTTTAAAAAAGTATTTATGTGCAGTATAAAAATGAAGTATTATTTAGTAATCTACTACATACTTTACAAATGAATCTAAAAATTTGTCAGTGTTTGTATGGAACTGCTGGTATCAGAGTCAAACACAATAGGTCGTGGCTCAATAAATATAACAAACCAAATCTTTGAGGGGGCTAGGTTAGTCTATCATTATAGACAACGAGAGCAGTATAAATAAATATTTTTTTCAAAATTGAGACACTGATCCTCAGCAAAACAGCAAGATTTAAAAGTATGATATAAACTCTCTGAAGATAATTACAATCCCTTCCCTCGTTACAACCAAATCCAGCTTCCATTTCTTCCTCTCCCAGTATCCTTCCCCTACACTCATAAATTTATAGCTGGTCGGCCGGGCGCGGTGGCTCAAGCCTGTAATCCCAGCACTTTGGGAGGCCGAGACGGGCGGATCATGAGGTCAGGAGATCGAGACCATCCTGGCTGACACGGTGAAACCCTGTCTCTACTAAAAAATACAAAAAACTAGCCGGGCGAGGTGGCGGGCGCCTGTAGTCCCAGCTACTCGGGAGGCTGAGGCAGGAGAATGGCGTGAACCCGGGAGGCGGAGCTTGCAGTGAGCTGAGATCCGGCCACTGCACTCCAGCCTGGGTGGCAGAGCGAGACTCCGTCTCAAAAAAAAAAAAAAATAAATAAATAAATAAATAAATTTATAGCTGGCTCACTTGGCTCAATGTGCTTTAAGGGTTCTAGTCTAGGTCCAGTTCTCACTCTCAATGTCAGACTGCTTCCCCTGGGCAAGACAGTCAAATATTCTAGGAGCTCCTAAAGAAAGGTAGGTAAATGGAATTACAGTCTATTACAACACAAACAAACACATTAGGAAATCATATTACTGCAGAATGCTATTCTTCCGAGAAGCTCAAAGATCTAAGTAGACGTTACCTCATTTCTCTTCCCAAATCTTATAAGGCAGACAGTAAGAAGATTAGCAGCACTTTTTACAGGTCAGAGGAGTCTGTGATGGACCAGGGTGGTTCCCAGAATCCCATGGCGCAGTGCAGTAAGCCCCATCTCCTCTGTCCTGTACTAATGCCATAATGACTTCTTAACACTCTGAGGACCTCAGCGTCCACACAAGTGAGCATTGAATTCACAGAGAAGAGAGAATGAAATACAGCAAGACTTCAGACATTTGTGAGATCAAAATTACCCCCAAAGCTGACCTATTTGCTTCTTATCTAGGCTTGATCATTCCCTGACATAGCTTTATGTTCGACCCTCAACTTACACGAAAGAAGACATGGGGAGTGTAGCAAGATTTGTGTGCCAATTCATTACCAAGCCCAAAACCAATTATACTTAAGAAAAGGTGCTAAATGAAGATTGCAACCCCAAAGCATGCTACACAAACTCTCACAACCCAGGAACCCTGTAAGATAATTACAAGGTTAATTTGCATGGATTAAATGTAAATTAATTAATCTTTCTTTGCTGATATATCTCTCTCCATTTAAAAAGAAAAAGGTATAACAGGTGAGGACCATAGCATACCCCACTGCAAAATTTTGAGGTTCTCCTTGGTGCCACATGCCTCTCTTTTCTTTTTCTTTTCTTTTTTTCCCCAGGATGGAGTTTCACTCTTGTCACCCAAGCTGGAGTGCAATGGCATGATCTTGGCTCACTGCAACCTCCCAGGTTCAAGCAATTCTCTTACCTCAGCCTCCTGAGTAGCTAGGATTACAGGCACCTGCTACTACATCCAGCTAATTTTTGTATTTTTAGTAGAGATGGGGTTTCACCATATTGGCCAGGCTGGTCTCAAACTCCTGACCTCCGGTGATCCACCCACCTCGGCCTCCTAAAGTGCTGGGATTACAGGCGTGAGCCACTGCGCCTGGCCAACATGTCTCTCTTTTCATGTTCCCTCATTTCTCTCCCCACTGCCCTTCGTCCTATGCATCAAGTTCCTTCATGGTCATGGCCTCTTCCAGTGCTATTCACCCATATTTGCCATCCCCAGAGCATATACAGTTTCCAGGCTTCAGCACTCTCTTTCCCCCTCCAACCCCATCCATCAAAATATACCATCTTGGTGCCCAGGCTCTCAAGGATGTATCTGCTCCTCCGCCAGAAACTCCAATGAATATATGCCAGTGAGTACTCCTGAGTTAACATGTCACCAATGTAATAGGCTCTCATTGTAAAGAGACCCTCCAGAAATCATGCCATAATCCAGAAAGGTGACTGGAAATTTCAGCCCAGCTTCTGTCTGGTCTGGCAGACCAGACAGAAAGGGACAGCCCAACCAGAAGGTACCTTTTGTGCCACCAGTAAGCCCTGAAAGGGATAGGCTTGGCCTCAGAATATCTCAGATGTTCCTAAGTGCCCAATCCGTACCAGTAACCACTGATAAGACAGAATTGCGGGGCAGCAAAGGGTAACCATGCTCAAAGTCCTGCTTGCTTGGAGGAATAAAACATAAAATTAGTCACGTAGACTCACCCTGTAGGTGAGCTCAAGCTTTTCAAATTGGAATTAAAAACTAGAGAAATACAAGGCCTACTCTCGGCCAGGCGCGGTGGCTCAAGCCTGTAATCCCAGCACTTTGGGAGGCCAAGACGGGCGGATCACGAGGTCAGGAGATCGAGACCATCCTGGCTAACCTGGTGAAACCCCGTCTCTACTAAAAAATACAAAAAAAAAAAAAAAAAACTAGCCGGGCGAGGTGGCGGGCGCCTGTAGTCCCAGCTACTCGGGAGGCTGAGGCAGGAGAATGGCGTGGACCCGGGAGGTGGAGCTTGCAATGAGCTGAGATCTGGCCACTGCACTCCAGCCTGGGCGACAGAGCGAGACTCCGTCTCAAAAAAAAAAAAAAAAAAAACAAGGCCTACTCTCAAGCTTTCCCCCACAAATGACCTTGGCTGTGCAAACAGAGCAAACACAGGGGTCAAGCCAAGGCAGAAAAGTCTGGGGACTGATTTCAGGCATCTGGGGCAGGTAATAGGAGGTCCTCATGGTTCTGGTGCACCCTGAGGGAATGGGCCCATCTGTAGGGGCAGCAAGTGAAACCAACTAGTTCACAGAACCCAAAAGAGACTCCTGACCCCAAAGATCCTCTGCACTCCTCACTGAAGATCCGTGGGCCCTTCCTATCTCACATCTCCACATATTCAGAGACTCACAGGTGCTCAATCTTAATACTGATGTCCCTTGATACAGTTCAAATTGTGCTATGGATGATTCACAAACAGACAAATCACGCCTAAATAAAAGGGACAATAATAATAAGGAAAAATGTACAGTTTCATCAATTCGATTTACTATTGTCACCCAAACAATAAAAACCTGCTTGTGCCAGGCACTGTTCTAGGCTCTGAGGATATAGCAATAAACCAAATGGACAAAAATCCCATCCCTCACTGCACTTGCAATTTAGTGCATGGAGAACTGATGAACCAAATAATCAGATAATTTAAATGGAGAAGAAGAAATC